GAGACATAGATTTTCTGTTACATTGCGCAGACCTCATTAGTTTTACACTCAAATCTGGTCATATTAATTTTCTGATTTGCATAATTAGTTTTCAGCTAAGTAATTTCGAATTATATTTAATGTGTCTCCAATACTCTTGGCACATGGGAGTTCTTTCTAAGCTTTCTTTGATTCATGTTCAGGCTGGAAATATTTGCAAAAGGGAACATGAAATGAATTTCTCTATTCCTAAGTTGATGGGTCGAGGACGTGGAATGTACAGTTGTTATAAAACAATAGGAAAGACGGAAGTGAAACCTGGTGGGAAACTTACAGCGGTAAGTATTTCATGATAATCAATTTTTTAGCTCCTGTATCACAAAACTCAATATAAGGGATTTATCGTTTTAAATTTTAAAAAATGCTCAAATCATCAAAAAAAGGTCATGCAGTAGAATCATCCGCTTTGATAATAATAATAATAATTTATTTACCGTGTTGTCTCAGAAGATCTTGTATTATGCACATACAGGGGGAAAGGTAGGATTCTTATTAGTATTGTCAACTTGCTTTGATACTTGGTGCGTATGTACCTTGGGTAGACCTCTCTTAGATTTGTTCATTTCATCATGATATCTTCAATTCTCTAATTTTGGTGAATATTTGGTATAAAGTGATATTTTTGAATTTCTTGTTAAAAACCACAAGTCTGATTGCTTTGATATTACATATAAAAATACTACATGTGGACCTCTCGCAGATTTGTTCATTTCGTGGTGATATTTTCAATTCTCCAATTTTAATGAATATTTTTGTAATTTTTGGTGAAAAGTGACATTTTCAAAGTTCGATTGCTTTGATACTATACATATTGTTCATTTTCTAATGATATCTTCAGTTCTTAATTGAAATGTGCATTGCTAACAGCGGGGCTATCTTCAATCAATTTTGACAATAAATATTTTTATATAAATCTGTATATGCTCAAAAATATGCAAATTTGATAACCTGATAAATTATCCATTGCTTTTAGAAAATTGCTCCAACAACACAGCCAAGAAAACCACTTCCTTTAACAGATTATAAATTAAAGCAGTTGACCAATTTTGTCAAAAAAACTACTTCAATCTCAAATCAGAATTCTTGGGCACATAGGTAAGTCTCTCACAAAAGCAGGAATTTGCTTATCTTGTGTATATTCAAGAACAAGAGCCTGCATACCCTCACGAATATTCATGATCTCATGCAAAAATATCTCTACCCTCATGAATATTCATGATCTCTACAGACTTATGAATATTAATGATCTCGTACAGGAATTTCTCTATAGTCTCATGAATGTTGATGATCTTGAACAAAATCTGTCTACCATCTCATGAATATTCATGAATATTCTGTCTAGTCTTGTGTATGTTTATGATCTAGTGCAAAAACCAGTCTAGTTTCTTGAATGATCTTGTGCAAAAAGGTGTCTAGTCTCATGAATATTCATGAATACATTGTGCAAAAATGTTTCTAGTCGCATGAATATTCATGTATACATTGGGCAATAATCAGTCTAGTCTCATGAATGATTTATGCAAGAATCTGTTTAGTATCCTGAATATTCATGAATTTTATGCAAGAATTTTTCTAGTGTCATGAATATTTACAATGTTATGCAAAAATATGTCTATAGTCTCATGAATATTCATGATCTCTCTGTTATATCTACTCTCAGAGCTGGTACTTTATTCCCAGAACTGGAAACGGTTGAAGCATTCAATAAAAAGTTAGACAAGTTTGCTGAATTATCCAATGAGGAAGCACCATTTCAAAGAATTCGAAAGAAAAAGACAGCAATAGGTAAGTAGTTTCTACAACAACTCTAATTTAATCTAGTCGAAAAAAAATGGAAAAGTCAGAATAGCAAGTGATTAATCATTTCATTCAATTCATAACAATTTAATTTTTTTTTTTTCGTCATAAATTTGTACTTTGGCTATTTGTACTTATAATCTGATATCAATTCTGGATCCATTAGCATTAACGTTTTCATGTGGGGAATGGGTTCAGAATACTGGGATGATGACAGGAAGAAAACTTGGTTGGGTATAGCATAATGCATTTCATACAGCAACATTAGTAAATCAAAAACTAGAATGTTAAAGAAGGTGCAAGCAAAGTAATAATACAATAATGAGAACGAGTCCACAAGCAGTCTTTAAAAGCTGTCCTGTGTTATGATTTCAAGGAGACTGGAATACTGTAAAACATGTCTTTTTCGTGAGCATGTCTTTTTCGCGAATTTGGCGAGAGAACTGATTCGCTAATTCAAGATGTCACTAATGACTTTATTATCAATTTAAAATGGCCGCCAAACAAAGAAATCAACAATGACAAGAGAGATTCGCTAAGTCAACATTTCGCTATTACGTCATTTTACCACAATTCGCTAAAATTGCATGCCGCTTTTTCAACATGTTTTACAGTATACCTAAGATAAACACATGTTCATTTTTTTGTTTTCAAAAGTCAAATCGTTTGATCTTGCTGGGGTTGTACATGATCCCGATGAGGATGAGTACGCTGGTGCCGTAGGTGGTGTTCCGGACGTCAACGCTGCCTTGAAAACTATGTCACACTCTGTCAGACAGGGAAACATAAGTGGTGTTAAGAACAGAACGAAAGATCCTTGTAACGTACAGAATTCTATCTATGAGGACAAAGCAATTGTACCTATATGCGCAGATCGGTACAGTATACCAGTCACTCAACGCAAACCAGATGAGCACCAGACAGGAGGTAATAATTCTACATCACGCGGAGCTGAAAGTCTAAAGTCTGGTGCTGAGGATTGGGATGTGGAAGAAGCTTACTGTGCTTTTGTTAATGAGTCAATTCAAAGCTACCAATCCTTTAATGTGAGTATGACCCCCCCCCCCCCCCAATTTCAGTTGCATCTTTCTTGGAAATTTTTTTTGTGTATTTCACCAATATATTGTACTCAATATTGTATCTTGGATGATTCTTCACTTAAGGAGGTTTGCGCCGAATTCCAATTTTGCACTACTAAGCATGTTACTGCACATATATGCAATGCATTATGGGAGACAACTTCAAATTTTGCACTACTGATCATGTTACTGCACATATATGCAGTGCATTATGGGAGACAACCTCAAATTTTGTACTACTGAGCATGTTACTGCACATATATGCAATGCATTATGGGAGACAACTTCAAATTTTGCACTACTGATCATGTTACTGCACATATATGCAATGCATTATGGGAGACAACTTCAAATTTTGCATTACTGATCATGTTACTGCACATATATGCAATGCATTATGGGAGACTACTTCTAATTTTGCACTACTGAGCATGTTACTGCACATATATGCAATGCATTATGGGAGACAACTTCAAATTTTGCATTACTGATCATGTTACTGCACATATATGCAATGCATTATGGGAGACTACTTCAAATTTTGCACTACTGATCATGTTACTGCACATATATGCAATGCATTATGGGAGACTACTTCTAATCATGTTACTGCACATATATGCAATGCATTATGGGAGACAACTTATAATTTTGTACTACTGATCATGTTACTGCACATATATGCAATGCATTATGGGAGACAACTTCAAATTTTGCACTACTAAGCATATTACTGCACATATATGCAGTGCATTATGGGAGACAACTTCAAATTTTGCACTACTGATCAGGTTACTGCACATATATGCAATGCATTATGGGAGACAACTTCTAATTTTGTACTACTGAGCATGTTACTGCACATATATGCAATGCATTATGGGAGACAACTTCTAATTTTGCACTACTGATCATGTTACTGCACATATATGCAATGCATTATGGGATACAACTTCAAATTTTGCACTACTGATCATGTTACTGCATATATATCTAATGCATTATGGGAGACAACTTCAAATTTTATACTACTGAGAATATTACTGCACATATATCCAATGCATTATGGGAGACAACTTCAAATTTTGCACTACTAAACATGTTACTGCACATATATGCAGTGCATTATGGGAGACAACTTCTAATTTTGTACTACTGATCATGTTACTGCACATATATGCAATGCATTATGGGAGACAACTTCTAATTTTGCACTACTAAACACGTTACTGCACATATATGCAGTGCATTATGGGAGACAACTTCTAATTTTGTACTACTGATCATGTTACTGCACATATATGCAATGCATTATGGGAGACAACTTCTAATTTTGTACTACTGAGCATGTTACTGCACATATATGCAATGCATTATGGGAGACAACTTCAAATTTTATACTACTGAGAATATTACTGCACATATATGCAATGCATTATGGGAGACAACTTCAAATTTTGCACTACTGATCATGTTACTGCACATATATGCAATGCATTATGGGAGACAACTTCAAATTTTGCACTACTGATCATGTTACTGCACATATATGCAATGCATTATGGGAGACAACTTCTAATTTTGTACTACTGAGAATATTACTGCACATATATCCAATGCATTATGGGAGACAACTTCAAATTTTGCACTACTAAACATGTTACTGCACATATATGCAATGCATTATGGGAGACAACTTCAAATTTTGCACTACTGATCATGTTACTGCACATATATGCAATGCATTATGGGAGACAACTTCAAATTTTGCACTACTGATCATGTTACTGCACATATATGCAATGCATTATGGGAGACAACTTCAAATTTTGCACTATTGAGAATATTACTGCACATATGTGCAATGCATTATGGGAGACAACTTCAAATTTTATACTACTGAGCATATTACTGCACATATATGCAGTGCATTATGGGAGATATCCTCTCGGTGTATATAACAGTATACCTGCATGGTTTTTTCTACCTTCAAATTACTTCACTCAACTTCATTTTCTGTGTCCAATGGAATCTGATTTTCTATATGGTCGACCCGTCCTCCTGTAAACTGCTAATTTTAACGAATTACTTATTAGTTTGTCGATATAGCAACCATTATACTAATTTACTAATACCAGTTTACTGATAAAGATCCAGGAAATTAATCTTGGCATTTTGTTTTTAAGTTGCACATTATCACAAAGGAATTGTCCTCATAATGTGAATATTGTAATAAAACAATGTTATTAATGATTAATATTAATGATTTTATAAATAAGTTTGTAATATATTCATCTCTGGGAGAAATCCAGACAAATTTTGTACATATGGTTATAAAAAACATTTTTTCTGTTCAACAGGATGAATTATTTTCTAAAGGACCATGTGTATTTGAAGTGGCAAACTTACCATTTGATGTTTCTGAAACTACCTTGTATGAATTTATGTGTTCATTTGGTGAAGTTATTCTTTGTGAAGTAGACCGTTCTCCGCCAGATTACTGTAATGGAGCTAGGGCTAGAGTAAGGTAAGATACCTAGTACCATGCATATATTGACAATCTACCAGCTGTATAATGACCTGTGCCAACTGTATATTGCCATGTACCAACTGTATACTGACCTGTACCAACTGTATATTGACCTGTACCAACTGTATATTGTCATGTACCAACTCTGTATTGACCTGTACCAACTGTATATTGACCTCTACCAACTGTATATTGACCTCTACCAACTGTATATTGTCATGTACCAATGGTATATTGACCTGTAACAACTGTATATTGCCATGTACCAACTGTATATTGCCATGTACCAACTGTATATTGACCTCTACCAACTGTATATTGTCATGTACCAACTCTATATTGACCTCTACCAACTGTATATTGTCATGTACCAATGGTATATTGACCTGTAACAACTGTATATTGCCACGTACCAACTGTATATTGCCACGTACCAACTGTATATTGCCACGTACCAACTGTATATTGCCACGTACCAACTGTATATTGCCATGTACCAACTGTATATTGACCTTTACCAACTGTATATTGACCCGTAGCAACTGTATATTGGCATGTACCAGCTATATATTGGCATGTACTGTATGTTTACCCTGTGCCAACTTTGTAATGACTCTTTACATGTATCAACTCAGAGGAGGTTTGACAGGTAAAATTGTTTAAATTTTGTTTATAGGATGGCCACCAAACGTGGGTGCCAGTTTGCTGTTAATTGTTTGCATGGAGAAGTTTCGCCATTTCCTGGTAAGTCAATAACATGTCATTGATTTACGCAAACTTCTGTCAGTGTTATTATCAAGGATCATGTGTTTTCATTTTGTGTGTTGAAAAGTGTGATATTTCCTGTAGAATAATATCGGTATAGAATGTGGTACTCATGATCTTATGGGTCTATATCTTGCAGGCTAGCTGCTTGCAAGTTTTGGGAAATAATGCAGCATTGATGATGTAGTGAACAAAAGATTGAATAACTATAAATTCTGGTGGTAAAAACCACATATAATGGACTCCCTAACTGTTTGAATTTGACTGACATGACCAATCATTGCATGGAAATCTGCGTATATTGGACTCCCCAACTGGTTGAATTTGACCAACACATCCAATTAATGCATATAATGCACATACAGATGGAAATCTGCATATAATGGACCCCCTAACTGCTTGCACTTGTTCAACACGACCAATCAATGCTAGAATTAATGCACATACAGGTGGAAATCTGCATATAATGGACTCCCTAACTGGTTGAATTTGATTTACATGACCACCCTTGCATAGAATGCACATCTGCATATAATGGACCTCATTAACTGCTTCCAACAAGACCAATCAATGCTAGAATTAATGTTCATACAGGTGGAAATCTGGATATAATGGACTGCCTAATTGTTTGAATTTGACCAAAACATCCAATCAATGTCCATGTAATTGACTCCTCAACTATTTCAAATTTTTTGCATTTTCTAGGTATCTACAACAATGATATTATTCCAGTGTTAGTCTGCACTCTATGTGATTGATTATCTGAAAAACAGCGACTCAAAAAGGAGGTTTAGAAACAGATATTGTTGAATGTTTTGTATTTTATCTTCTACAAAGCTATATATTCCCTAGAATGAGAATGAGAAACTGGGATTACAGAAGATACCAATTTGCTCTGGCCAGGGAGCAGAGTTGAGAGCTTCCCTAGCTTCTTGAAATATTATTCTTTCAGTTGTGAAAGAAATTAAGAACTACTTTTGCAAAATCGAGAAATTGAAATGTTTACACACAAGAAGAGTGTATGAAAACTATTTGACCAATGATACTGCACCTTGTATGAAATGTTTCATTATATTGGTTCCGGGGTAAATAGTGTGTTTATAGTAATATTTAAATAATTTACTAAAGTCAAACCATTCATTACTCAGAAGAATCAAAATCTGTGATATTGTGTGAGGAAGTGACTGACTGACTCCTGCCATGTAGCTATTGTTCATGACAGAATTGCGCTACCTGGCGAGTGAAAGGCATGTAATTATATATTGCAGCCCCATATTGGCCATATGTTTGTTATTCATGCATTGATTTTTCGTTTTGTACTGTTGTCAGTTAACTATTTTGCATATTTTTTTTCTTATTTAAATTAGCATATCTATAGTATTTAGATAATAAAATGTATTTTTCTTGTTTCATTTATATTGGTATCTATATTCTCTGCTGAAAGGGTTTCAACTTGGGTTGTAGTAAAAGCTGTTGAATTTCAGCTAACTTAGGTGGTAGTAAAGGCTGTTGAATTTCAGCGAACTTAGGTAGTAGTAAAGGCTGTTGAATTTCAGCTAACTTAGGTGGTAGTAAAGGCTGTTGAATTTCAGCTAACTTAGGTGGTAGTAAAATTTGTTGAATTTCAGCTAACTTAGTGGAAGTAAAGGTGTAACATGCTGTTGTCAATTTGCAGTAATGGTGATTTGATTTGTTTTTGAATTTATTTGTAGTTCATCTTCGGTGATCCTTATAACGATCGTATAGTAGCTTAGGATGCAGTTAGAAAAACTGAATATTTAAGTTAATGTACAATATTCTTTCAATAATAATATGATTTATCATAAATTAATTGTTGTCTCTGCATTATTCAAAATATTAGTCAGTAACTGGAAAAATATTTACTGCGAGTAATTGTGTATGTATGCTTGAGTCTCTGTTACACTGATATTTCATAACTATTGATACTTGAAACTGAATTTGTTATAACGCAGACCTGTTTAGATTTTAGTCCCCATTTCAGGTGCAGCCTGAATTTCAATTTTCCGTCTGTGACGTCTCTAACATTTTCTCAGAAATTCTGCAGCAGATATCGATGAAACTTGGCAGGTTGATGAACAAGTCTTTGCCGAATATGCACGTAATTTTTGTTTCCAGATCTGAAAATCCTAAGTGGGTCTTTTTTCATGATTTTCATCCAAAATTACCTCTCTCTACTGCACTGAGAGAACAACTGAGCATGCTCAGAATAAACTATTAGCTTAGATTTTAATGCTCGGGTTTTTAGTGATCTGAATCAGTGACAGATGGGTCGTACCATTACCAATCTCCGTGGAAAATGTAGAGGGGTGTCAGAGCTATATTTTGATGAGAATTATAGTGGTGATAATGAAACAAACCCAGGTCCTGGTAATATACAAAGAAAAGTTGTTATTAAAGGTACATCAATTGTTTGCAGATGTTCCATGTATTATTTTAACAGTATTTTATAATTGTTGGCTGTTTAATGGATATAACTCTAGACCCAATCAACTAGATACGTATATAGGCACTCTAGGATTAGAAGATGATTTAATCATTCAGAAGACTAGATTTAGTGTATATGAAGCATTCTCATTAGCCAAGAAGCTGTAGATAAATCCTATATGTATAACGTGCCACTACTTAGGAGTTTGGTTCATGCTTTATATCATTTCAGAATGTTGTATGAGCAAAATTTAAAAAAAAGTTAATTCCTGTGAGTAATTTAGCACCACACGTTATTCTTTTCCTTTTCTTTGATTAAATCAATGTATGTTTATCAACGTGCATGATCTGTCTAGTGATTGGTGCTGCCCTCTATGGCAGACTGGGTCACTATAATTGTTTTTATTGTTGAGGGCGTGACTCGGTGACCACAGGAGCATTTTTTTGTGTGTGCCAACATTTTGCTAAAGCTATTCTAAAACTTTAGGGTTTTTTTTTCCTAAGGAAAACAACAAAATTGCCAACTTACCGATTTGAAAATTATATTAATTATTAAGTATCATGACATCCTTGCTACACCGTGCGGTTCTTTCACCTATGATGTTATAATCATAGTTTACATCCACATGAAATTATTATACGCCTAGCTGTGTGACTAACACTGTGATAGTTGTCGTTATTATTGTACTTTGTTTGACCTCTCTGCTTCACCAATGGAACCACAACGCAAATTATTGCGGTGCATATATGCCGATGTAAGTACGAGACCCTAAATTTCCGAGTCGATATTTTGTAAGTAACCTTATTATTGTACATTACTTTTTAAAGACACTAAAAAGAATAGAAAAATGTCGCTTTCAAAACTATTTACCACAAGGCGCTGTCAAGTAACGTATTCAAAATGTTCACACGTCTTACTCGATCGGACCATGAGAAAGGACGTAACCGCTCTCTTATGACACAATTACTTCTACTAGTGACCGTGCCTTTGTATTCATAGCAGCTATATAAGCACAATACAGTTTCAGTGTCGGTAATCCTGGCCAATGGCCATCATGTCCCAGTACATACATTAAAACTAGATCTAAGATTGAAAAGGTAAAGAACAGGCGATGCAGGGGACGGTGAATCCGAGGCGCGATCGATGTAATACTGCACTAACGCAACTTTAAACTTCAGAGAATCTCTGATTTTATCGTTTTAGTCCACAACAATATTGTATAATAATAAGGTACACGGTATTGGTACCTTCGCTGTACCATGCACTCGGTCGTAAATCCCGGTATTTCGTGCATAGCCTCGTATTATTTTTATTTGTTTATATCACAGTCCCACTATCCCTTTCTAGATGGACTGTGTTTCTACTATTAAAATAATTTAAGCGTTCACAAACAAATCTGCCAAACGTAACGAATTTCATCGAAATTTGACTAATAACAATATAATCGATTTCACCGCTGATATTTATATACAGATGTAAAACGAGCTCCTGGTAAGAGTCAAATTACCATAGTGTTTAGCTGTGAGATAAGATAAGAGATTTAGTTGTACGATGTCCAATCAGAATATTAATATTCTACTCCTCTGGATAGGATAAAGCCCGAGTTTGAGGACTCGACTTGGATATAAAGTCCGATCCGAGATAAAAATGCGAAGCCGCAGGTTGAGACATTTTTATCTCAGGGAGATCTTTATATCCTAGACATATTTACTTTGTGTTGTGTATATATACGTAAGAACCGCTAAGGATTATGGGAAACATTGAAATGACGGCGTACATAGACAAAAAGTCAATTGTTTGCTAAAGGTCAGACAAAACTACTAATAAAGAAGAAATATCCAGTTAAAATTCCTGTTGAGTGATTATTGGGATGAAGTCTAGTCTAGAAGGTAATTCATTCGGGAGGAATTGCCATTGTATTTTTGTATGGGTAGTTTGTTTGAGATGTACTCGTTGTCAGTTTTCACTATTCTTTAAGAAATCATTACTACACGCATGCAAAATGGGGAGAAGACAGAAAATACTTTGCCTTACTAACAGTCATATATATAAAAACAGAGGTACATTACTTGGGGTTTGCAACTACGGTGACATAATACCAAGATCCCGTTTCAATCTCGCTCTCGCATAAGCGTTCAAACTCAGAAAAATGCGAATGCGCATGCCCGAGGTAACTAAGATACTGAGATGTCCAGGCGGATCAAAATAGCTGCTCACGGATGACGGATTACGATAACTATATTTTCTGTACATTTTCGATGTATTACATTTTTTCTCTATGAATGTGGTAATACATGTTTTATTGTTTTATTACAAACCGCCTATGTCATGTCAGAAGGTCGTAGCATCAGTCTCGCTAACTGCGAGATGAGACTTGAATGGGATCTTGGCATGATGTCACCATACAGTACTATGCGCGTTGCAAACCCCAAGTAATGTACCTCTGATAAAACTAAGTATACTTGAGTATAAAATGAAACTCGCGAAACATCCTTCAAATCCCCATATCTGTTGAGCGCTCCCAGACGTGGCCAAATCATAAAGTCAGTTAGTGGTTTATGACTTGATTTGACAATCCGATTCAAAAATAAAATTGACATAATTTTCATAAATGCGTTGTATTGTCACATGATCAAAGTAACGTCATGTGAATCATACAACATCAAAGTCAATATCAACTCTCAAAATTATTCAGATTTATGGGCCGTTGCATACGGAAACGTGTTTAGTGTCAATGTTGCATTGATGTTTGACTTCAAAATCCAACTAAGTATAGTTGGTAACATGGGTAACTTGTCGTTTGTTTGTTTTTGCTCTATTTCCTTTGGGGACCTAACGTCAGCGCTTAACCAAAACTTGTACGAATATTAAATTGTTTCTTGCTTTATCACTTTGCACACACACTCTAATCCTCACCCTGCTTACTATTCGCACGTGACGCCTTGAACCAGCGAATTGTATGCCTTGCATGCGCCCTCCGCGACACTGAACAGGTTTCTAATCAGTGACGTAATTCGCGTAACTAGGATCTATTAGAATAACCATATTGGGCCAATAATAAACTATTACATTTGCATAATATGCAGATTACATTTAGACGGAAAACATTATCGTTGCAAAGATTAGACGGAACTCAGCGACTATCTGCAACGTTTCGTTGCTTTAACACAAGTCTATTTCTTATGTTAGCCATTTTAATATGTGCCAAGTTTGAAGGCGCTAGCAACTTTTCCTTTTAGTTCTATTGCGATCATACATAAACATATAGTTTGGCCATGACCTTTGTATTTTCACCTAAAATGCAACCAGGTCATGTGAGACACGTAAGAACGTGTGCCAAATTTAAAGGAACGAGCTAATTTACCCTTCTATATATTGTGAACACACATAAACACTACCCGTACGTACGTACACTGCGTATGCTGTCGTTCTAATGCAATGGTCTCACTATGTTTACATTCATGGATTCACCAGTACAATAATTAGTTATATTGCAATTCGCTTAGTATCACCCAGGGTAAGGTTACAATAGCTCCACGAGACTAAGTTTGAATCCACGGGTTTACCAGTAAAATGATTTGTTATATTGTAATTTTGAGCAAAATTATCCAGGGTAAGGTTATATTAGTTCCACGGGACTATGTGTTTAAATTCACGGGTTCGCCAGTAAAATAATTAGTTATATTTTAATTTGGCACAACATCTAGAGTAAGGTTCTGTTTAAAGCGTGGTGGTCGTCATGCCGCGCATGTGTGACGTTTGTGTTGATGAACATTGGTTTTCCTATGGAAATCACAATGAGGGTTGACC